CCGAATCCAACCAATAGCGCGCTCTCCTAAAAAAATCATAACTTTTACGATGGACCAAGTACGAGCTTGAAAGTTTTGCAGGATACAGCAGACAATTGAGCCTAATTTAGAAATTTTTATTAGAAAAGCACAAGATCCTGATTTATTGCTGCATTTTAAATACAAGGAGCACATGTAGCCAAAAGCGCGCATTTCATTTAAAAAATTGCAACTACGAACGCAGGACAAGTTCGACCTTGAAAGTTTCGGCACATGGCGCACACATTCTATTTTCATAATTGAGAAATTTTTGTTGTAATGGCACCAGAGCCTAACTTTTTCTGTTGTTTAAACGCGAACTTGTAAATGAAAGTTTCCAGCCAAAAGCGTGCTCTAGTTGAAAAATTTATAACTACTCATGTGGGGCAAGTACGAACGTGCAAGTTTTGCACAATATATGGGACACTCCATCCTAATCATTGGGAAGGAAATTTTGATTGAAGTGGCACGAGATGGTGATTTTTGGCCACTAAACACAGGTTTGAAAATGAACCTTTGCAGCCAAAAAATCGCTGTCGTTAAAATATTTGTAACCATTAATAAGGGGCAAGCACAAACTGGAAAAGTTCCCCAAAATATAGCAGACATCTGAGGAAAGAAAAAAAATTGAAACAGCACTCCGAGTCCAGATTTTCTGCTGCTGTTTAAACGAGTCGAAAAATTTAAGTTTGCAGTCAAACGCGCGCTCTCGTTGATAAGTGTGTAACTACTCATCTGGGGCAAGTACAAACGTGTAGGGTTTGTACAAAATACAGGACGTTTCATTATAATAACTGGGAAATTTTGATGGCAGTGGCACGAGTTGGTGATTTTTCGCCACTGTTTAAATACGGGTTTGAAAATGAACCTTTTCAGCCAAAACATCGCACTCGTTGAAATATTTGTAACTGTTAATAAGGGACAAGCACAAACTGGAAAAGTTCCGCAAAATATTGCAGACATCTGGGTCTGAGAATAGAAAAAAATCAATGAAACATCACTGGGTGCTGATTTTTGTCGGGTGTCTAAACGTGAGTCTAGAATGAAAGTTTTCAGCCAAAAGCAAAAGCCATCCAAACGTGAGTCTAAAAATGGGTGTTAACAATCAAAGGCGCTCTCCTTTTAACAAAATTGTAACTACTAAGCTGGAACAAGTGCGAACTTGAAAGTCTTACACGATCGAGGAGAGAGCTGAGCCTCAAAGCTGATAAATTTCTGTTAAAATCGCGTTAGATTCTGATATTTTGCTACTGTTTAAACCAGTCACTAAAAATGAGTGTGTCAAGCCAAACCGAAACAAGCTCTCCTTAAAAGAATCATAACTATTAATCTGCAGCAAGTATCAGCTGGAAGGTTTCGCAAAATATAAAACACACTTGAATCTGAGAATCGTGTAATTTTGATCGAAATCACATTAGGTCTTGATTTTTTA